CTCCGGCCTTATTGTGGGCTGTGATTTATCGCCCACCTAAGTTCAATAAGTATTTTATATGTCACTTTTCTGATTTCTTGGTCAATTTTATGCCTAGATATGACCACGTTTTAATTATTGGGGATTTTAATATCCATGTCTGTTGTCCTGACAAACCTTTAGTTAAGGCTTTTTTTTTTTTTTAGATCTTATTAATTCTTTTAATCTTACACAATTTGTGGCTGGTTCCACCCATGAACATGGGCATACTTTGGATCTTGTCCTATCTTATGGTGTGCCAGTTCGTGAATTAGAAATCTGTGATGCTGTGTTTTCTAATCATTTATCTGTGTTATTTGAGATTGATTTTATTTGTGATACAACTGCACCTTATGCTACACTGTGGCTTTGCCATATGTTTAATTCTTCCACTTCTGTTCAGTTCTCTGCTTTCTTTAGTGAAAATCTTGTAATTTCTGACTCTGTGGACACAGAGGAGCTTGCATTAGATTTTCAATCCACTTGTCAGGCTGCTATTGATGCGGTGGCACCACTGAAGATTAGGCGGCCTAGGGCTAAGTTTGAGCCCTGGTTAAATGAAGTGTCTCGTGCTGCCAGGCGTAAGTGTTGCAGAGCTGAGCGCAGGTGGAGAAAAGATAAATTACAGGTATCACTTCAGATACTAAGACTCTTGGCATCTTTATCAAAAAATAGAGAAATAATTTCTCTTTAAGACTTTTTCACAAATATCATTCAGTCGAACTGTCATAAGCTAATAATGTTTTATTTATGGTTATTGAATCAGTTGTGAATGTTCCTCAGGTTGCTTGTGTTGAGTCCTCCCCTGCCCTTTGTCAAAAATGCTTATTTTTTCAATGACAAGGTTCTCTCTACTAGAGCTCAAATTTTCCCTCTGGCTCTCCAAAAGATGCTATTCCTCCTCGATTTTTAAAGGAGATCTTTCCAGCTGTGCGGCCAGTTTCCCTTTCTATTATCAATAGTAGTTTATCTGCTGGGCTGGTCCCAAGGAATTTCAAACACACAGTGGTGCAGCCATTGATTAAGAAACCTGGTCTGGATCCCACAGTGCTTGCTAATTTTAGGCCTATCTCTAATCTATGATTCCTTTCCAAAGTTCTTGAGAAGATAGTTTACACTCAGTTACTGGCTTTTCTGGTAGAGCATAATATTCTTGAGATTTTTCAATCAGGGTTTAAAACCCTGCACAGTACAGAATCAGCTTTGGTGAAAGTCTTAAATGGTATTTTTTTTGCCACCGACTTAGGGAACTGTGTCATTCTAGTGCTCCTTGACTTGACCGCTGCCTTTGATACAGTAGATCACAATATACTTATTTCTCAATTAGAGCACTGGGTGGGTATCCGGGGCATAGCTTTAGAATGGTTTCAGGCTTACCTTAAGGATAGAGCATTTTGTGTGAAACTTGGTGATGCTATGTCTACTTCTGAGCCACTTTTGTGTGGGGTGCCACAAGGCTCGGTTCTTGGACACATTCTTTTTTCTCTTTACCTCCTCCCACTTGGCTCCATACTTAGGAAACACGGCATCGCCTTTCATTGCTATGCAGATGATAGCCAGCTTTACTTACCAGTTAAAAAGACAAATTCTTGTGTTGGGCCACTGCTTGAATGTTTTGAGGACATTAAATCTTGGCTCACACTTAATTTTTTGAAGCTGAATGAAGAGACGACTGAGGTGATGGTGTTTGGTAATACTGTTGGGTGGCTTCTCTCCACTGGCTCCCTGTAAAATTCAGAATAGAATTTAAAATCCTTCTCCTAACATACAAAGCCCTTAATGACAAGGCTCCATCGTATCTTAAAGACCTCGTAGAGCCTTATCATCCTAACAGAGCACTTCGCTCTCAGAGTGCAGGTTTACTTGTGGTTCCTAGAGTCCACAGAAGCAGAATGGGAGGCAGAGCCTTTAGCTATCAAGCTCCTCTCCTATGGAACCAACTCCCAGTCTCAGTTCAGGAGGCGGACACCCTCTCTACCTTTAAGATTAGACTTAAGACGTTCCTTTTTGATAAAGCTTATAGTTAAGGCTGGATCAGGTGACCCTGAGCCTTCCCTTAGTTATGCTGCTCCCCTCCCCCTGTCCCCTCCTATCCCCTCCTCTCCTCTCCTCTCCTCCTCTCCTTTCTTCTCTCCCTATGCTTCTATATGCCACCATTACATATCACTAAATTATTCTTGTGTTGGGCCACTGCTTGAATGTTTTGAGGACATTAAATCTTGGCTCACACTTAATTTTTTGAAGCTGAATGAAGAGACGACTGAGGTGATGGTGTTTGGTAATACTGTTGGGTGGCTTCTCTCCACTGGCTCCCTGTAAAATTCAGAATAGAATTTAAAATCCTTCTCCTAACATACAAAGCCCTTAATGACAAGGCTCCATCGTATCTTAAAGACCTCGTAGAGCCTTATCATCCTAACAGAGCACTTCGCTCTCAGAGTGCAGGTTTACTAGTGGTTCCTAGAGTCCACAGAAGCAGAATGGGAGGCAGAGCCTTTAGCTATCAAGCTCCTCTCCTATGGAACCAACCCCTCTCTCCCTATGCTTCTATATGCCACCATTACATATCACTAAATTTGCAGTGTGTCCTCTTTCTCTCCCTGTACCTTTCTGCAGGTAGCCCTGGCTCTGGAGCTCTACGTCTCTGATGAGCATTCACCAGCCACATCAACCTGACCAGTGTTTGATTGTTTGTTGTGTCCTGTTGCTTCTTCTTTTCCCTCTCCTCTATCCACTCACCCCAACCGGTTCAGGCAGAAGGCTGCCCGCCAAAAGCAGGGGTCTGTTGGAGGTTTCTTCCATTAAAGGGAGTTTTTCCTCCCCACTGTTGCCAAGTGCTTGCTCAAGGGGGATTTGTTGGGTTTTCCCTCTGTAATAATAGCGATAACAGTAAGGTCTAGACCTTACTTTGTAATGTGTCCTGAGATGACTTTTGTTGTGATTTGGCGCTATACAAATAAAATTTGATTTGATTTGATTGTGTTTATAAACAGCCCAAACCACAATTCCCACTTTTTACAAGCCTTGAATGCATAACTCACATATGTGAACTGTAAAATAAATGTTTTTTTGAAAATGTAATCACTCTAGTGATACATAGTAGGTGATTCTCTGATCTCTCAGCGCCATCATCAAATTCAAATTTATCTTTGGTTTATGACTAAACAACTGCGTAGTGAATGATATATTTCTTTTGGGAAATTATTACGCTAACCTTCTAAGTAACACTATGCCCTAACACAGTGTCATAGAGCTACTAGCATGGCTCCAGCCTCTTAGCCTTGTACCCAGTTCTGCATAGTTGTTCTGACTCCTCCTGAATAGATATTCCAGGTATTTTATGAATAAACATAGAGACCACTGTTCTATCTGGCAAAAATGATTTTCACTGTAGCTCTAAAATGCCTATCTTTACTGTAGTTCCTAAAAACAATTTCAGGAAAAACAATTTCCTGAGACAATTCTGACCCCCAAATATCAAAATGTTCAGCTTCTTAAGGACATGTGCTTGTATTGTTCTTGTTTGTAACATTTATACTATTTTAAGTCATGTTGCTAGCTTGGCTTATAAATATAGGATACTGTTCGATGTTTATAAGATATGTGAGATATTAATAGTCTCTCTGAGAAAGTTTGTGGTAATAAAGTTCATTGCAAATAGTGACGATTTTATATTAGAGATGCTTTCCATGTGACATAGTCAAAAAAACTATTTGCTGTGCATCCAGCATGAATGCAGGAGAAAGGTGTGCCTAGAATGCAGTGTCAGCCAAATGTCAAAAAGGTGAAATAAAAGAAAAATAAGTCAAATGGTAGTAAGAACTTCTGGTTTAATAATAGAGCACCATGATTGATGCTTTGATATCTCAACTGAATGAAAAACCCACAAGCATCATGAGGCCATTAGTATAAAATCTTTGCTTCTGTTCTTCAGCCCTGTGGCACTAACAACTTTCAGGATTTGTGAGTGCAATAAAGAGACCATAGATTCAAGGTAATTTGCTCCACAATGAGGTGAGACCTGGAGTGCTCACAGAAGGTTTGCTACAATGCCACAGCATTTAACCTATTCATCGGTCAAAACAAACAAGCGTCACCGTCAAATTTTATCAGCCCTCTATTTCATAACCTTGGCGCAGAAATTAGAGCCTCTCTGAGTGGTTTATGTGGAGATGGTGTTGAATGCTGGGAGATGTTAGCCTGCCTGAGTAGCAATCGCTCTGATCTACAGCAATCTATTGATCCGGCAAGCTTGTCCAATCAATACAATAAAAGAGAATAGGGGAAACAACATTAGAGGAGAAAATTGCCTATCTAAGGAGCCTGACGGGGGGTGGGGAGAGCATACACACGATAGGACAGGTACTGTATGTGGATTCTGCACACATAGGACTAGATTAAAAGAAATGCATTTTTCCACATGGACCAATAGAAAGGCCCTGTATTATTTCCTTGGGAGTGCCAGAAATGTAATGAGAAAACTAACAGAGGGGAAAAAGCAGTGGAGGTGCTGGATGAGATGAGATATGAGATGAGGCAATGAAGCATAGCTAGCACCAGGCAATTGAGTTGTCTGTGTTAGGTGGACATACAAAAACACGTTACTGCACCAACTAGAACAAATCAAATCTGTCAGATCTGCATACAGATCTCTTCATATTGAGCAACAGGATGGCCAAGTAGATTAAAAAAAAATCTATAACTGTAACATCACAGGATTCACCCATGCAGCAACCAGCATTTCCATAATGTAATCTGTCGGTGTAACCCTGAAAAGATCCCCTTCTTTTCTCTGGAAAGGATTGCCATATCATGGCTGAACTGTAACAGACAGATGCTGAAGATGGATGAGATATTAACACAGTGTGAAGATGCAAGTAGAGAGATTTCTGTGAATCCACAGATAGGGCAGTCAGATATAGAATGGTCAAGCTGAAGTCCTGACCAGACCTTCTTTTGTTAATTGGTTGTAGGTGGGCTGAGTCGGCTGGTACGCTCCATGGGAACCAACACGTGCAGGCGAGTTGGCAGGTAACAGGAGGACCAGGATGTGGAGGTGAGATGGCAGGAGGACTGGGGCGAGGAACCGGGAAGGTGCTCGATGTAGCTGGCAGTCAGGTAAATGCACAGCGTTGCTGGCCGTCAGGTAAATGCAGGCCTTAGCTGGCCGTTAGGAAACCTCTTAGGTCACACGCTCTACACTTGGCGAGCAGATAAATGTACTGTCGGGGACTTATTCATTCCATCGTAATGCAGCTAAGCTGGCAGGTTGACTAGGCGCAGTGGGAACGAGGCAGAAGTGCCAAAACAAAACCAGGAACAAGTAGCACAGGGACTGAAACAAGGAGTCATGTAGAGTAACCTTGGGACATGTAAACGTAATGAACCAGCAACTAATTGAAGGGAGGGAAGGAGTATATATGGGCTGGAGATAATGAGACACAGGTGAATACAATGAACGCTGATTAACCTGTGGTAACGCTGGGGCAGGTGAACTGACAGAAACAGGAAATACACCAAGAAAATAAAGACACAAAACAGGCAGCTCTGTCCAAACCATGACACTCCCAGACTCCAGGTCTTGTTGGGCGTTCCTGGTCCGCAGTGGTCAATACCTAACAACAGTGTCTAAAGAAGGACAAACAGTGAAGACAGGCTGTATGGGCAGTGGACAGGCTCATGGATGCCCAAGGCTCACTGGTGATGAGGTTGATCTACTGTAATTTAAGCTTTTATATTTCATTCATCCTTTTCAAATGATTAGGTTTTGCTTGACTCTTTTTTAAAATGGTTGAAAATGAGAAACACTGTACACTGGTCTCTATGAAGAAAACCAACCAGAATAGTCAGAGCACCAACTGCAGCACTGACTACTGTGTACACAGTATTAGGCTGGTGATCATAATGTTATGCCATTCCTGCC